ATTTCCGAGAATCTCAAAAAGAATACTTTTCTGACTACACGCTTTACTCTTTCCTGACTTATTTTGAGACAAAAACGAGAGGCTTGATTTTCCACATTTTTACATGGACCATTCCACCTTTTCCCGATGTTTCCCTCTTTCTTTATCCTAAAACGATCATGCCACTTTGTTATAAATAAATAATCAATAAATAATCAAAATATGTAAAGAAAACCCCTCTTCATGATATCAACCTCTTCGACAATGCGGTCGTTTATCACAAAGAGAAGTCATTAAAAGTTGTGATTTCCAGTATTGCTGGAGGAGGTGTAGGAAGCGGTGTCTGGAGACGTTGCTTTATGTCCAGGTATCGTGTTGGCGCGGAGCAGTGCGTCGTACTGCGGGTTTGGGGCGGCCGGAGGCTTGCCTTCGTAACGTGTCGCTTTGGGGGCAGACCACTATTGGATGCGGTCGCTCATGCGACGTGGCACGCCTGGGACCCCTTCATTCGATGCTAGCGTGTCGATATGCCCCTCAGAAACAAATGAAACAATAATGATGTTATTACTTTTTAAAAAATGAATTGAATTAATCTGCAACTGTTGTTTCTTTATATTTCAATTAACGCCACTGGTCTATACTGCGGTCTGTTTTTGTGTTTTTTGGACTTAAAGTTTGCTTATTTATTTAATCTTAGAATACACCACGTAAAAAAATTAAAGTTTCTTTGATATCAATGAATTTTGGATCATTTTGCAGGATATATGATCCAAAATGTTTTTTTTTTTTTTTTTTTTTTGACATCCCTTTAAAGAAAAAGTACCACAACTTGAGCATCACTCAAACCATGGGAAATTATTTTGCGCAACCTACCATAAACGTGCCATTTAAACTGCAAAAATCTGAAATGCCTGATCAGCATAAAAAATGGTGAGAACCGCCTCTCGAGATAAAAGTATTGCAACCCGATTCATATCACTTCTAAAACAATAACTTCATACTAAAATGACTATAAATATGATTAGATCGTTTGAGGTTACGATAGAAGGTACGAGAGTTCACTCGAACCACGTCTGTCCTACTATATAAAGCAAAGCCGGGGCAAAGTGGCTTCTAGTTGGAGCGAAGGCCGCGCGTCCAGGGCAAGGGTACAGTCAACTCTCAGAGGTCTAATGGGGATTGTTTCCTGATTCAGAAGCAAGCTAATGTATCTATCCGCTCTCGCCACGAAATCTGTGCTGAAAGAGACGGCAGGTTGAACTGGCCCCGGAGTACGCAGGCCCGCCCCAAGAGTCAGCGTAAATTACAGGTGAGACGGTTGCGGATGCAGAATTGGTCGCGCGAGACCACGGAAACGCTATGAAATTCGCACAGCGGTGCGATGAATTATTACCCACTTTTCCGAGATTAGTTGTTATATTTTCATCCTCCCTTGTCGTCGATGTTTTATGAATGAACAATTGTCGAGGAGGTATAATTAGTTAAGGAATCGAAATGTAAAACAAAGAAATCCCTGGTACATAATTTATCTCCATGCGTTAATTGATACTTTGGGATTTTTGTGTAATCCTTACTGTGGCAAGGTGTACTTAGATGTGCGGTTTCGGAGAGCAAAACAAATCAGTGCTGTTGCTTCACTTGGAGCTATGCAGTCCCTCTGTGATGATCTTAGAATAATTATTCGTGCAGTCGATGTTAAGTAGACTTTCAATGTATCATATTTTGCGTGCAATTCCTACCTCAGTATAAGATTTTTAAAGCTTTCCACCAACCTGGTCTTGCTCTCTTTTAAGGTTTTTATCTATCTGTTAAATCTATTTTTTTTGGGGGGGGGGTTGCATTTGTTTTCAATCAAAAATTTTTATGGCGGTTGAAAAAGAGATGTTACTGAATGTGCGTGTTATTTAGACATTTGACATTTGTAATTTGGGTGGTTTAACAAGATAGCTTCACCGCAGCAGTTCAGTAATAACATCTCTTTCACTATCTTGCAAAGTCTATTTGTAATGGAGGCAGCGATGGAATTGGGAGATAGTGATTGAAGTACATAAACCAATATTTGCTTAATTAATCTTTATGGAAACAACATAATCCTCAAAACATTACCACGCATAAAGCTTTCTCCAGATAATCAACCAATAACATATCTACAAATAGAGTTACATATTTTAAAAAGTTGAAAATCGTTATCATATATATTTGCTCAAAATAAATAAATAATATAAAAGAAAAGAAAAGAAATAGGTATTTAATTTTTTTTTTCTGTATCGTCTACAAATTTTAAAGGTTCGGTATTATATTTGAAAATAATTTTAAATAGAAAACACAGAAGTTATTGTAATAAATGAAGAAGCAACAGACCAATACACAAAATCATAAGTCAAAATGAGAGTATTAGGGGGAAGTCAGAAAGAATAAAGACCTGGCAAATACACAAAATTTACTACAATTTAAATTAACAAAATCAAGAAGTATTAACACTTCTTAATATGCGCAAATGTCGATAAAAAAGCAAGTGTACAAAAAAAAAAAGCAAAATTTATTAGGAAGACGTTACACACGAGAGTAAATCCGAACCTTTCATCACTCATTTTCAATGTTATTATTCTTCGTTTATTTCAGTTATATAGGAAACCCGTATTACTATTTTCCAGACTCAATTTGATAAGCCATTGACAAGGAGAACATCTAGGTAATGGCATCGTACAACACACACTAGAATTACCTTTACACAGGGACAAATATAAACACTAGATTTACACGCATAATATTGTGACATACAATGAAAACGCTATAGAGATACATAACATAAGAACACAATTGCCGAAGTAGTAGTCCGCGTATAAGAATATAACCAAATACGTATATGGTGTTTTACGCATAAGATTTACGCTTGGGTACATCTGAAGCCAATATATGCTTTTGGCTTACATTTATATCTAGCAGACACGTGTGAATACAATTAGTTAGTAATATACAAGTACGGTTCTCATAAGTAAAAAAAGACGAATAGTAGGGCCTACCGTAAGTATTACGCGTCTCAGAAAATTTATATCTTATACCAATACCTACTGAGATAAAATAAACTTCTACAATATAGCGTCTTAATTTTTTATGAAATCAGTAACAAAATGCTATTTCTTAGCCATAAGGTAGGTAACCATTGATCCTTTTTTACGTTAAGTTATATAAAAAATGTAATTACACATATTTGATATACCTATACCTGTTGTTCGAAGTCTGGTGATTTATGCCCCACCTTCTATGATTGCATAACTATTACGTGATAAAAACATAAATGTAATCACAAAACAGAGCTAACATTTTATTGATAATTCTCCGCCATATTATGAACTGTTTTGCACCAATTTCGAAGTCATGCGGCTGAAATCAGAACAACGTTACTTTCCTCGTTCATCACTTTCAGTTTCTATGAAAGATGTGCGAATCAGTCACTGAAATGATGATATTGATTCTATTTTTTTTACTCAAAACAGCCATATATACATTAATATACCAAACCAATTTTATAAACACATAAGTAGCTTACCATAAAAAATATTTAATAATGTTCACAATGTTTTTTTACATTTTTATAAAGATACTGTGTCTGTAAATATAAATTTTTTTATCAAAATCCTAAAAAGTGACAAAATGACAATTAACAACATGCTAACAGGCACAAACCAAACTTCAACAAATGTAATCTAAACCCACATCTTTTTCATGCGTGAAAAAAAGGAGTTTGAAGACGCAATCACTCGTTGATTCAACAAATTTGCCAATATAATTCTTAAATAGCCAATATCTCATTATCAATGCGATTCTTAAGAAATTATGACAGCATCATTTAAAAAAAACCAATGCAACTGTTTCTCGTCGAATGGAAGAAATGAGTATCACTGTGGAGCTTTTATAATACACGCTTGGGATGTGCCCTTTACTACTCAGTACGAGTATAGTGTAGCCGGAACAATTAAACACTTCATGTCACTCTTTTTATGAAATGTTTTTCCCCTACAAACAAAAGTTCTATACTTCGGATACATTTTACACAATTTTTACACAAACTAATGTAATGCTGAATTTTAAAATTGGCCAAGTTGCTAGTTTCTGTTGAGGTAAGTTTTACCTTATACACATAAGGGACGCCTCAATGTACGCGCGTATAGGTGAACATCATAATTCTTAAAATACTTTCCATAGAGGAAAATAAACGAACAAACACAAAAGAAAACAGACTACATTGTTACCGTGTAATTATTCCACTCAAAAATTATCTACAGAAAAAACAACCTTTGTTTATATGAGCGCATGATATCAAACATGTTTTAAGAACATTAAAATTATTTTTAAATTATAAAAATCACAATATTTCTCCAATTTTTTAGAGTAACAATCAAACTGCTTTCAAATGTCACCGACCTCCTTTAGCGAATTCATTGATTATTATTATTATGATGACTTCTCGGCCATGTTTCATACCGAAGCGGAACATATCGTTCTCCCCATAAATTAGAGAAAATATATGTAGCATGGCTATGAAAAGTACAAGTGCCTAGATTTAGCAGTATAACATTATAACTTCTCGATTATTTCCTACAATCTCTCAACTACCCATATCTCCTATCTTTGCACTTTATTAAATAATAGGCTAAAAAAAGCGAAGACTTCCACTTACGTTTGACAAGCGACGTCACGTTACGTCAGCGCAACTATCCATCCAAAGCCTCATACCTCAATTCAATCAGGTTTTGATTAATTTAATATTCCTGTGATTCATTGGGCCGCGCGCTGGCGTGCCGCTGTGTGTCGGCATAACTGCACTGAATGTGTGAAAGAAAATCGATGAAAAGCATATGATAATATTATGTGAGAATTGTGGCAATTTCCTGACGCGATTGGCTGAGGGAGCTACAGGCCCCACCTCTTGAACTGCTTATGCATTTATCCCATTCTCTGATTGGTTACTGTGTAAGTATTTTGACAGATTGTGATCAAGTCCTCCAGAGTCCCAGATCTGTCCTCGGGGAATCGACACAGCATTGCCAGAAACTTTACAGCAACAAAAAGCAGCGTCCACAGAGACTTCACGCCACTAGCTGTTTGTGGACCAGAGAAGGGCATTTAGATTGGAACCTCTAAGGCTCGGACTTGTACTCTTTCTTTTTCAGTAGTCCCCGTTCCTGATGTTCCAATCCGAGTGTCAGAGTACCTGACTGGACTGTGGGATTTACGCTGGATAAAAACTATAATCTGCCTGGCAGCAGTTTACTTTTCTCGCTCCTCGGCGCACCATCATTAGCGGATTGGCAAGGTGGACTGTGGATCGTTCATGTTCGGCCTACAAGATAGTCTGGCCTCTAGAGTCACGCAGATGACAAACCTGAAAGAGGAACCGTCGTTAGCCAGCCAGCTAGGAAGCGTGCGCTCCTGGATGCATTCGTCGGTGGTCGACACGCCGACCTCAGGGAGGTTAGTCACTAGGCTACGGGCCTTCTGAGACCCCGTTGAAATCCATTTACTGCCTCAGTGTTAATATTGCGTCTGATGCCTCCCTATAGTCACATTTGTATTGTGTTTACAATGAGCTCTGTGGCCACGGCTTTATTCTCCGATTCCAACCGGGCTCAAGTTTACAGTTAACGAGTGAGATAATAGGACGGTTTAAATCAACGTAGTCTCAGTGCAACTTGACGGCTATAAACCACTGACGCAAGTATATATTTCTTTTCAGTGTTGGTCTGGGGCGGGCACACTTCGAGAAACAACCGCCAAGTAACCTCCGTAAGTCAAATTTCTTCCACTTCGTACTGGCATTGTACGACCGGCAGGGTCAACCGATAGAAATCGAAAGAACTGCCTACATCGACTTCGTTGAGAAGGACCTGGTAAGTGAAGTACGTTATCCGTTCCTTTGTTTATTATTATCATTATATTATTTATAACCTTAGCATTATTGGTATCATCCCATTTTATTGCTGCTTCTTCACTAAAAATAGCGACGAAAATGATTTTCTTTGAACAATGACGATAGCGCATATTTCGATTATCGCAGTCCACGTTATTTTTACTTTCGTAAAAATCATGTATGTTCTAAATAGGTTAATCGATTTCATCATTATAATTGATTCAATCGTTGCCAAGTTAATTTATTTAATAAATACCACCTTAAGTAATTATAAATATTCAAACAATCAAAAGATACGCCATCTTTGTATTTTAACTATATATAAAACAATCCTATTTCCATTTTCAGGAACAAGAGGGTCAAAAAACCAACAATGGAATACACTATCGCCTACAGCTGCTCTACGCAAACGGTAAAGTTGCAATTATTCTTTTTAGAAAACATGGGGAATATTGTTGTTGAAAAGCGTTTATGTGGTACATGAGGATTTTTGATTCCCCTAAACAGAGCAGTTTTTAAACTGTATATTTGTGTCAGCTCTGTGTTGTTATGTAGAGACTTTTTGACTTTTAATATTATTAGTGTAAATGGTGCCCTCAACAACACAATGTTGAAATTTTAGTCGACTCCATTTCATTGTATCCCTGCACGCAGCGTGTGTAATCCCTCGGCATAATTGAATTAAAGCACGCGGCGTTTTTAATCGGCCCGCACATGGCCCTGATTAACACAAGAACGCTAATTTGTTTGCAAAGAAGCGAGAAATAGTTTGTGATAGTTATGTTGGTCACGCGGTGCTTAGGCATAGACCCCCCTCTCCATATTCCCCCACTCCGTTTGAAGGAGCCCGACCGTAGAAAATTCACAGACATAGGGGGTAGGATTAGTTCTAGGATTAAGCTCATGATCCTTAAGATTTGATTGACTACCACAAGGCTTAGCCACATGTTGAAAAATATTTTCCCAAATCTTCTTTGTGAAAATGTGTTAACTGCGGTATCACTAGCAAAAGAAAAACATAACAAGACAGCGGTAGGTCGTTAAGTGGTCGGTCGAGCCCGACCGTCTGTTTACAGGTGTCCGACGGATGAAAATTTGCCTCAAATTGTAATCAAAGCAATGTTCACTCTGTGATCGTCAAATCAAAAAGAGATCTGACACGAAACTTGAAGATTTCATCTTTGTTTAATATTGCACATTTTCCTTCCCTTCGGCCGATTCATTGTAACGTCAATCAAAAAACTTCATTTCACCTGTTCCTGTGCGCCTGGGTGACACTTGCTTGGTCTTCATCATATTTTTCTTTCTTTAATGCAAAATTAAAAGCTCAAAGCTCTTTTCTGTTGCTTCTATAGCTTGCCCTTACCTCCTGGCCATATTATTACTCAGTCCGACGCAGAAGCTCGCACATCTGTCATGAACGAGCCGCTGTCAGTGACTCTCGATGAAAACAATAGTCTGCCTTATTATGTATAGACACTCCGGCTAATAACTCAATTATTCTTTCGAAAAATCTTCATTTAGCAAACTAATTACACGGATCAGAGAGATCGTACACGCTTACGATGTGTGACAAAAAATAGAGGAAATATCCCAAACTAGCCTAGGAAAAAAGCTAATGACTCATTCCTTTGAGAAATATGAGTAGTTTTCGAAAAAAAAACATCGTCAAAAAATAAAAACTTAATATTGGTGTGTACGTATTATTTCTATGTCGTTTATACCTCTAATTTCGTTGATTATGTTTTCTCGTTGTTAACGAAAGTGTTAATATTATCGTTCTGAATTCTTAGGAGTTCGCCAGGAGCAAGATTTATATGTGCGGCTCATTGACTCAGTCACAAAACAGGTAAGTTAGATAATGTTTGGGAATGTCAACTCCCTCTCTCGCTTTATCATTTTTACATGCACGACAAATGTAGCTATGTCGACCATCTGATCTATATTCCTTTTGTATTTGTTCAATACAAAGTATAGAGACATAAACAATTATATCGCGATTTAACATGTATATTTGATTTTCATTTGAGTTAAGCACGAGTCAACTACCAGTGGATTAGAATTAATCAATCTCACAAAACCGCGATAGCAATTTCATTTTTCGTGATACTGATTATTTTGCTGGGAGCCAAACGAACTCAACACCTTCGGTTGAATTCAATGAAAACGCACTCATTGAATTTCAATTATTGTTTTAAAAAGACACGCAAATATTTATGCCAATAATACTGAGAGACATTTTTAAAAAAGCGCTACTTTTTAGGAAATACATGTAGTAGCAACATATATGGCGGAAATAGTTAAAGTATATATGGTGTTATGTATTGCAACCGCAATAAACTACTTGGACAGGCGGCGCGTGCCAGCTATCAAATAATTATAAAATTCGTCCATCAAAAGCAGATCGACTCGTGCCACCAACCCATACAACAATACCAGGCGAATATGACCGTAGAACAGAGGTCCATTGTACAGCGCGTGGTATTGTAGTACAATTTCTATAATTTTGTGGGCATATGGCAACCCAGGGGCGACCAGCAGTAATAATCCATTTATTCAGATTCAATTCGTGTGTTGATCTCCATTATTGATGCTAATTGCCGGAGATAGGTAGATGGCGCACGCTAAGACACAGACTGGGCGAAAGAGAGCCCAGAGATTAATAGTTGGCGTAGAAGTAACATTGCATATGGCCCTCGATTTGTTGGTTTATTAAACTCGGCTGGTTTAATATGGAAGTCTGTTTTTTTAAAACAGCCGTGTATTTCCCCCCGCAAATATGTGAAATGAAGCGTGTAACGTGGGGAAATCTGGTGCTTTTAAAACATGAGAGATATTGTTTCATGACATTTTAGTACAAAAACATATTAACTGCGTTTTGTCATCTTTTCTTCTTCTTTCAAAGCAATTTGGATTGTTGTCTTTGTCAAGCCTAAATAAAACAGCTCATTGAGGTGCGCACTCAGATCAATTGTAAATTAAATATAAATTGAGGAGGAACTCACTTGTATAAAGCAGACAAATGCAATGTGAAATAAATAAGAACAAAAGAACCCAGATGGCTAAAGACTTAATTTAAGGGAACAATTTTGTTTGGAAGATTGGCAAGTCGGCGGAAAGAATAATACGTTATTGTGTACTGAACAATGTAAAGACGAACTAACTGAAACGATTTATATTGGTTTGTATCAGGGGGCTTTTAGAAACAAAATTAGTTGTAATCACAATTTCACGTACGGGAACTTTTAGACAAAAACGTCAATTTATGAAATGCCTTTTACAGAACAGTAAAATTTGAAGACATATAGTTTTAGATCTTTTACCGGCAGATTTTTTTACTATATACGGTCATATAAGTAAATAATTTTTTACCTTTATTTATTTTATAAGACAACCTTGTATTTTTATATTAACAATTTGATATTATTTATAGTATGTATATATATATTAACAATTTGATATTATCCACAGTATATATATTATTTATTATTTTAGGCCATCGTATACGAAGGTCAGGACAAGAACCCAGAGATGTGCCGAGTACTTCTTACGCACGAAATCATGTGCAGGTGAGATTTTAATTTTCACGGTTATCAAGATGTCTGTTTTACGTGGAAAAATCTTGTCAAGCACGACACTTCTCTGAATTTAATTTGAAGTCGTTCTACATAATTTCACAGCAGGGAAGAGGAACAAAAAATTAATTGGTTTCTAGTGTAAATCTGACTGTGAACAACGTAGGAGAAAAAGCTAGGGTCATGTTTTCAACAAATACTAATATGAATGCAGATAAAAATTTAGTTGATTAAGAAGAATGCAAGAGAGTATTTTTGCAAGATTAATAAATAAGTCAATTAATGAGAATCACAAATAAATAATAACAGTAGAAAAATGATTAATAACATTAGATAAAGCAGGCGTATTTCTTACTTTTCCAGCCGATGCTGTGACAAAAAGAGTTGCGGCAACAGAAACGAAACCCCTTCCGACCCAGTAATAATAGACAGGTAGGAAATATATGCTATTTTTTACCGAAACATATCACATTGACATTTGTCAGGCGTATCAATATTTTCATATTTTGTGTCAATTATAGAGGTACCTTATGGTTGGGGTCTTATCATTTGACCCTGTCACTTTGGATATGCGGTATTTTCCTCTAGCCTTGCACCCACCTCTGTAGAAGGTAATTCGTTGTTAGATGTATAGTCTGTTGATAAAACTAAAATTCAAAGACTCCACCTCTATAGAGATACAGCTTCCCCGAGCAGGGGGCAGAATTAAAAACGGTCAAGGCGTTTAGAGCAATTTCATGATCTAGATTTTTTACAAACAGCTTATTTAAAAACAGAAGCATGCGGGTTACAAAAACAAGACATAATGCATATGTTAGAATAGGGTGTGTCACAATTTAAAAAAAGCCTTAATGAGTTGAACAAAGTCCTCTTGCTGGTAAACCTATGCATACATTTTGTAGATGGCTATACTTGAAAATAAACACAGCTCTAACGGTACCTACAATCCAGAACTCTATCGTTTTCTGTAAATAAGTCGATTTATAAAACTTATAGCTGAAAAGATCCTTACAGTATGGGCCTTAACATATTAGCTCATTCAAACCCCCAATAAGATTTAAAGAGGTGCATATACACTCCCAAAGGCCTATTACCTCCAGTCTCAAACTGCCGCAACAAGCTCTGCATTCGGAGACGTTCGAATAAAAGGCGTTGGTGCAAAATATCTATAGAAGAAAAAAAAGAAGTCTTTACTTAGTCTTTTTGAAACGTCCAAAGATTATTCATTTATGTATCTATTGAAATTCAAGAATAAATTTTCAATAGAAATCTCCGATCGTCGTCGTGACACATGAAAACATAATTTCCATTTCTCTCGACTGGTTCGAGAACACTTACCCCATGCACAGCGTAAACGCTAATCGAAAATGTTTTGAGTTCGAATTTTGGAATTTAGTAGGCGTAGAGATGCAGTAGTGAAATAATAGGACCTTTATGGCACGTTATCGCTTGAAAAGAAGACCATAACTAAGTAGCGATGCCACAACAAAAAAGCTGACAGAAAAGATACAACGACAATAAGTCGACAGAATCAGAATCAATATTGTTGAAATATAATCACATTACAGCACAAAAGTTGCTCCCGTATTCTCTCTAGTGGTATATAGGTTGATGTTGACATAACTTGAGATCATGTCAACACTTTTAACAAGATGACAATGGTCCAAAGCAAAAGAGCCCTCCCGGGAGGAGGAGTAATGGGCACTAATCTGCGCAGTTGAGTGGAAGACGCTCGACTTCAAAGTAAAGATAAGGAGCGTGGAGAGGATAATCCGGATCTTTTGTTGATCCAATCAAGTGGACAAACCATTATGATAGAAGGGGACGCTCTTCTGAGATTTCCAGGGGTGCTCTAAGCAAGTACCTTCTTCTGGGAGGCTCAAGGGCGAGGAAGAAGAAATGTGTACTCTGAATCACAACTTAGATCAGTCTACGATAACATAACGTACTATAGGATACAGGCATCATGTTTTGTATATTCTTTTAAATTCTATCAATATGTCGCGTGCATCATTTCTTTTTTCTTTCAATGCTCGTCTCATAACAGGTGCTTTCATTACCGAGACACCTCGTACAACATGGGGAGAGGGGTCCATGAGATGAATAGCGGTGCGAAATAAATAACTCGAATTCAGCAATGGCGTGTATGACTGTACAATATAACTCAACTCTACTTCAATTATATCAGTTCTTAATCTTTTAAATTATCCGTTATATTTTGTTTTTTTTTCAAAAATTTCCTTGAAACAAAATTAAGAATATTTTATATACAAAACGAACATTTATCGAAGCAAACGTCAAACGTCAGGGAATTGAGACATAACGTTAATGCTTTGCAACTAGAATAAATTGAACATTAAACAAATAAAGATTATAAAGAAATAAATAAACAAATATTTACTGTTGGATTTAATTAACTGTTACACAATGTTTAGTGTTTATATTTGCCACAGCCTATATATGTTATCTGTATATAGTTATATAAAAAATAACACAATATGCATTATCTTAAAAAGTTGAATTAAGATTGTAATTGCATGACATGTGGGGCGAGTTGATCTCATTCATGGTAAAACTCAATGCAATTTAGTATTGCTGATGAACAAACAGCTGTTCCATATTTTAAAGGTCAATGGAACACACACTCATTAAGATGAAGCACTACTTGAAAAGTAAGAGTAATATTTTACATGATTCTTATGGAAAAATATTTTTGACATTAATCTGAAAGTGTAGAATACAATTTGGGTTTATGTTAGAATGTTATGCTTTGAATTGCTATCAGGAAATTATACATCACTAGTAAATGCAGGCAGACAGTTAACTATTAATCTAAAAATTGAACTGAAGTAGAAGTTAACATAAATATGATAATAAATAATGCCTAATTGTATTGATGTCACAAAAGACATTATGGAAGTATTACAAAACTACTGGTTTTACAGCAAAACATTTCTTTTTTTTTTCATTTTTTCTTAATCCAACTGATGCATTAAGGTTACAGTGTAACTGATTGATACTCCCCTTAATAGCCAAAAAGATCACACAAGCCTGATATTCTGTACTCTTCTGGGATATGGTTTTTCATGATATATAGCATTCCTTAGGGTTACACCTTCCCCATGATCTGTACTGTCCCAGTGGGACTAGGCTAGTCATGACACACTTAGTTTTGAGTGCATGGGTTAAAGTGTTCCCGTGCATTAATTTATTATGCTTTTAAACTGGATATCATGAGGTCTAGTCTATATGTTCAGACAGTGCATTTGTACCAGTACTTCTAACCAGCACCTGCACATGTCACCATTGTTGCATGTCATCATTGTCACCATCATGTTAGTGCAATACATGTATAACCATGTGACTTGTTACCCTTAAACTTACTACAGCATTTAATATCATAAAGATACAAGCCAAGTTTGGATATCCACTTTATTGGACCATTTTTACAAAAGTTTTCCTTTCTTCCTTTTTTTTTCAGCAAAAATTATAATGTTTGTAATCCTTGTTAATACAATGATTGGATAACTCTGCATCTTGTCCTAAAAGCATTAAATACAGGCCAAGTTCAAATATTAGCTTTATTGGATCATTATTTTCTTTTTTCCACTAGCGTATAAAACATACATTATATATACATTCCTTAATGCAGAAAATGCAAAAACTAAGCCATTTATTTTCTCTAACCTACTGGACTGGTTTATAAAACTGAAATATGAGTCAATTTGTTTGACCTTTTTTGTTTTTGCAAGTTCAATAATTTTTTTTTGGGGGGGGGGCATTTAAGTCTTCTACTGAATGCAATTAATGCACTTAAGTAACGGTAAACCTGGTATATCAGCTTATCTCATATATAAGGAGATGATTAACAACAGCTTCAACAAATCATTTTTCTTAACAATTATTTCATGCAGCATCCTTTTTTAATGCTCAGGATATAAGTCAAAATTACGTGTTATAACTTCCTGATATTTTCACAGTTCTTTTACTGAAAATGGTCTGTATATTTAACAGCTTTGCTGCCTTGTTGTGATATTCATTCATACCTCTTATATTAACACCTGGATTATTCAGGTTAAAAGCAAAAACAAAAAAATTGGTTTTGTCATTAATGGATAATTTAATAAAAAAATTACCATGCTAAAAAGATTTCATTTCATTAATTGCTATATTTTAATTATTAACAAAGTATCTTTACATTTTCATGAAAAAGTATATTTTCATTTCTGCCAAATGTGTCGGAAATGACAGCCTAACCAATAATACCATGACCTTGTGATATTGGCTGCTCTGTCACCATTCTCATCATTACATCAAGTGAATTCACCCTTCTCGATCAACTCTTGCCTCGAGTCTCCATATAACTGCATACAGGACATGAATACTTGATGAGATATTATCACAAAGACAATTTAGAACATTTTGCTGGGAAACAGATATGGTGACATTCCCTATCTCCCGCGCACACATGAAGAAAGCACAATTTCCAATAATTGCCTTTACAGAGTAATCTGCTTCTTCAATAGTTAGCCGAGTGATCAATTTTATTCCTGATCAGAAGCTGATCTGCATGAAGTACTCAAAGACATGACTCACAGCTCTGTGCTGGGTTGCAGTTTCCTTCATGTATAACTGTGACAACATTTAATACTTCTTACTGGGAAGAAGTTGCAGAATACAGGAGAAAACAACAGAAGCTAGTCACAGCTGTCACTGGAAATGATAGTTCATTTTAAATAGCAAACTTCTCGATATTACACACCTTTTTTTGTCATAATAATGAGTCTAGATTAATTTTTACGTAAAACCATGACATTGTTGTAAAGCAAGTTCTTGAGAACAAAGGGAAGGATATGGTTAAACAATGGGTGCTTATTCTTATTTCATATTAGCACAAAGGCAAATCACAGAGGAAGTGTGTAGTAAATGAAAAAGGGTATTTATTAACATAAATGCAGTGCGGACAATACCAAGTGATAAAAAGGTAGAAATAAAAGAAAAAACTAGTAAGTAATGTAAAAGTGAAAATTAAATGAAAATCATTCAAGAGAGCCCAAAGTCTTGGATGTTGTTTAAAAACAAATAAGATTTCATGGTATTAAGAAGAGAGTGTAGCTAGCACATTGGAAAAAAGGGTTGTATGATGTCATACAGTTTCGACAGCTTTGTTTTAGGCTTTTGCAAATGATTCCATTCTGATCAATTAAAGTGAGCAATCACAGATAAAAAACATAAGTGAGAAAGGTTTTAAAAGGCACTGTTTTCATACTACAGATAATTCACTATTACATTAGTGCAAAGAATAATATCATTATGTAAAATTTCTAATAAATTTTGAAGTATGCTTGTTTCATTTAAAATTCAAGTGCAATTATTTTAATACTGACACACCCATGAATGATAAAATGTAGTAGTGATAAATGTACTAGAGA